AATCCAGTAAAAAAGCCTAAATAGAAGCTTTCATTAATTTGGGGGGGTATATAAAAGCCGATTTTTAATTATACCTAGAATTCCATATCTTGGTTTTGGCAACAACAGTCATGATGTAGACTAAAGGGTTGATTTTGGGAACAGAGAGACTTCTGAAAGGTGCTAATCCATGATACTGCCATTTCCTTAAAGGAGCAGTTGCATCCTGTTATTATTAGGTCAGAAAGAGCCCTTGAAACCTTTCAAAGCACTCTTCATGCCTTTAAACTTTATAACAACCTAAGTAATAGCAGGTGTTATTTTGTATATTCTACAGGTGAGAAAACCAAACCTCAAGAGGGCAAGCTCACCTGCCCAATGTCTTGCCACTAGGAAGGGTGGAACTTGGGTTTGAGATGAGGACTTTTGCTGGCCAAGTCATTTTCTTGTCTCTTACAGAGAAGAAGAAGGTGTTAGGAAAGTCCATTTGCCTGTAGAGTTCATTTTCTGCCATTCTCCCCACCCCCAACATAGATAATTTAAATAGTGGACAAAAAGTAGAAAAGAGAATTTTCATTTGTGAATTTCCATGGCCATCTGCAGGGGCCTGTCAAATGCTGCCCCCTAGACTAGGCTTTGCACCTTTACTCTGACGGTCTCTTTTCCTTGCTCATCTGCAAATTATTTAATTGGTGCATTTGGAATGGTATTCTTGTTGTGTGTATATTTTTTTAAAATAAGATTTTTAAAAAGAATAAAAAGGTCAGGTAGACCAATTGATGTTGTATTAACATCTGTATTTTAAAGGACTATCATGATGAGTCCTTCTGTACTGTTAATTCTTAACTAATACATAGGAAACATACTTTGTGTTTATTCTTAAGGTGAAAATAACTGTTTTGTACTGAAACTGATGGATTTAAAGAGCTGTTCACTCACCATGACTTACTGATACTTTTTTTTAAAAAATGTTTTCCTTTCTTCTATAGTTCTTTTCTTGACACCTTGTAGTGTTTTTATTTTTTTATTTTTAAAGGTTTATTTATTCATACAAGTGCCGGGGTACAGGCCAGAAATACGGGGCGGGGGCACGTGGGTGAGAGGATTCACCAGAGACAGAGTGGGGAACAGAACAGGCAGACTGACTGAAACACACTGCTGAGGGGAGCAGTGGGTGAGACAGGAGAGGTCTGCAGTGCCATGTGGGTTTCTCCCTGGCAGGCTGGGGATCAAACTTGTGCTGCAGAGGCTGCCAATTGCTTCATAGAGTGGTGCTTAACCCCTTGTGCCACCAAGGATGCCCCTTACTGATACATTTTTATTGATTTAATGATGAGAAGTTTTATGTCTCTCTTACGGGCTGTAGAAGTGATTGAAGGTTAGGATGGGGTAGCAGGTCTGAGAGAACCATGGGTAGGTGTGGATGATCAGACTCTCATGAAGGGAAATGGCTGCTCAGGAGTAAAGGAGGTGAGGGAGATCAAAGAATTGGGGATCATTCAGCAGGACACAAAACTTGTGCAAAGGTAAAGCAGGACAGGGCTGTAGTGGAGTCTCTTGTGGTCAGTCAAGTCCAGGCCCTCTTACCTCCTTGATTTCTCTGTGGTAGTGGACACATTAAGTGTTACTGCGTTCACTGCCTCCCAGATGCTGTGACTCCCAAATCTATCTCCAGATTAAGTCTTTCTCCAGAGCTCCCATACTAGGTGGCCACTGCCTTCCAGACAGCCTCTTGAATGTTCTATAGCTTCTAACCCAACATAAACCAAAAGGACAAGTTGCCCTCTCTTGCTCTTTTAGATCTTTCAATTATGGGATAAAGTCCAGAACGCTTTGTGCAGCAAATGGAGTACTTCATTATTTGGCCTCTGGGCCCTGTACAGATGCTTCCTGACATCTGATGGTTTGAGTTGTGACTTTTGACTTTATGATGGTGTGAATGTGATACTTTATTCAGTAGAAACTGTACTCCAAATTTTGAATTTTGATTTTTTCCCCAGACTAGTGATAATGTGATGATTTCTTATGATGCTGGACAGTGACAATGAGCGGAACTCTCAGTCAGCCACATGATCACGAGGATAAGATAATTTTGCTGTCATGGGCTAATGTAAGTGTTCTGAGTTGAGACCAGACACAGCTAGTCTAGGCTAGCGACAATGTTCAGTAGGTTAGGTGTATTACAGGCATCGATTATTTTAATTGAAGTAACATTGGCTGATGATGTGGTATCAGGTATACACATTATAATTCAACATCTGTATATAGTGCATATGATCATCAGTAAAAGTCTGGTTTCCATTCTCCACCATACAATTGATCCCTTTTACCCAATGTATCCATACTTTTCCATTCCTGTCTCTCTGGTAACCACTGTTTTGCTCTTATAGTCTAAAAGATTGTTTTTGTTTTGCTTCATTTATTTTATTCCTTTATCTCCCACATATGAGTGAAGTCATATGGTATCTTTACTCCATCTGACTTATTTCACTTGAGATAATCATCTCCAGTTCTATTTATGTTGTAGCAAATTGCAAGAGTTCATCTTTTTTTTTTTTAATAGCTGAGTAGTATCCCATTGTGTATAATATATATTGTCTCTATTCATTTGTCATTGGGAATTTAGGTTGTTCCCAAAGCATGGCTATTGAAAATAATGCTGCATTATGCATGGGGATTCGTATATATTTTTTGAATTAGTGTTTTCATATTTTTCAGATAAATACCCTAAGGAGAATAGCTGGATCCTATGGCATTTCTATTGTTTTTTGAGGAGTCTCCATAATGTTTTCCATGATGACTGTGCCAGTTATGTTCCCATCAGTAGGGGGTGAGGGATCCCTTTTCTTTACATTCTCTCCAAATATTGTTTCTTCTTTTTTTTCAAAATAGCCATTCTCACTGCTGTGAGGTGAAATCTCAGATATGTATCCTTGACATATGATGTTTACAATCAGTTTATTTAAGTCATGGAAGATGTATATTCCACTCTCCCCCATAGTGTGCCTTGCTGCTTTTTAGTCCCTGCTGTTCCTGCTCTGGAAATGCCCTTCCTCTTACCCTGGCTCTTGGCCAAAGCATGTTTTGCTTCTTCTGCAGCCCACTGTCCACCTAGAGCACTTAATGAACTGGAAAGTAATTATTTATCCACATGCTTCTCCATCCCATTTCCCTAGCTGGTGGGCTCATTAATAGCAGGAAACTTTTTTTAAATTTAACTTTGTTTCCTGAGCTGCCAGCCCAAGGCCTTATGTATAATAGGAACTTAATGATTTATGAATGAATAAACTTTGAGAGTCTGCACTTTGAAGTAGGACCTCTCCATAATTAGTTCCTATCTTTGCTCTACTTGTCTTGTGTAAATATGTGTTTGTTGTACAATAATATGACCTTGTTGCAACTTGAATATCTTGTGCAAGGCTTTGTGTTAGAGGTTGCAGCATGTTGTGGCATGTCTTGGAAAAGGAACCGCCTGACATTGTCTGTTGTCTCCTGTTATTCAAGTTGTGCAGACCACTCACTTGACAAACACGCCTTTGGGCACCTACTTGGTCCCACGTGCTGAGCGAGGCATAGGAACATGTAGTAATAATACTATAGTAATACTCCTAGCAATCATATACCTCCTCTACTCTGCACCTAAGTTAGCTTGTGAGATCGCTCATATTCTAAGTCTGAGGAAATAGAGGCTCATATTTAAATGAAGGGAGTGCAGACCTTGAGCCAAGGTCTGCCTTACCTCTAAGTCCATTGCTCCTTTCAGTACTGCATACCACCTTAGAGTACCAAGTGCTGAACAACTTCTGTCTGTAAGGTGTGGGACATGCATTATTTTGGTTTAATTCTCCTAAAACTCTGCAAGGTGTATCCCTGTTTTTATGGAGAGGAAATGGATTCAGAGAGGTCAAATGACCTGTGCAGGATCATCTAAAACTGACAAGTGGCTGAGTGCCTGTGGCTTGGGTGACACACAAATCCATGCATCTTTACACCCACACGGCTTGTTTGTTACATGCAGTTGTACCTCTTTAGCGCTAGAATCAGTTAGAGGACTGACCCGTGAGGAAATCGTAAATCTCACCAAGGAGACAATAAAAGCTGAATAATAGTTAAAAGGCCCATCTCTATAACCATCTGAGCCCCTCCTCACCCCCTGATTCCCATATCTGTCTGATTTCATTCTCTCTCAGAAGCTTTCCCTGACTTTCCAAGACAATGGACTTTAGAACAGACCTTGTACTCACCCAGGAGAATAAGACTTCTGATTCCACTGCAGGACAACTGTCCATTCTCCTGTCTCTCCCACTAGTCTGCATGTATTGCTGGGGGATGGAGCATCATTTTTGGTCTCATTCTCAAGTGCAACCTTAACCCAGCAATACCTTCTTACCTGTAATAGTGTTGTCTGTGCACATACTGAACTTAGGTAAAGGACAAGAACCAATAACGCAGGTAAGTTTGGAAGCAAAGAATTTGTATTGTTTTACAAAAGGTCTATTCACCTTATAAAAGGATTTTTGGCAAGGTTCCATTGAGTAGGGAGTCAGGATTCTTGCTGTAAAAAGCAGCCCAGAATCTCATTTCCTTAATACCTCAAAGTATCACGATTATCTAACAGTTCAATGCAAATGTTCACTTAGGAACCTTTCAAATCTGTGGTCCCATCATCCCTATGCCTTTGGGGGCATTTTGCTGGGTTCTCTGCATTTGGCTGATGGGTTGGGACAGAAAGAAGAGAATTACCCAAGAGGTTTCTTCAGGTGGAAGTAGCACACATCAACTCCCATCCCACTGACAGGAACTCAGTGACATCACCACACAAGCTGCTAGGAAGCATAGAAACAAGTGTCCTAGCTGTGTACCCAGGAGGAAAGAGAACTGTGTCTTGGTTATCCCACAGCCGTCTCTGCTCCCGGGAACACTCCTGAGCAGGTGGCCCTTGAACAAAGCGACTCCCTTACCTGCCTGCGATGGGCCTAGGGTAAGGGAATCACACTGATGTCTACTGTTTTGGCTTTTAGACGAACTCATGTGATCAGAATCTAAATATCTGCCTGGAATTCATTGAACAAGTTGCCAAGGTGCAGGGACAGCTTTTTGGGATCCTCACAATAACGGCCCAAGAAGGTGAGTGTGGCCTATGCTTTCCCACCCAGCTTTCCTTTCTGTTCTTTGTGCTTTGTTCTCTGACATAGTGGGTGTGACCAAATTTCTTCTCGCTGACCTGAAATTTTTTTTAGGAGGACGAAATGAGGGCGTGGAAGTAATCAAATCACGCCTTTTGCCTTGGCTGGAAGCATCTTTTACTGCGGCTTCCCTGGGAAAACCTGTTGACAGCAGGGTCCCCTCACTTCAGGTAAGGATGCTAGAGGATCACCTTGACTTTCAGTGCCCTCCCCAGGCTCTGCAAACTGAAACACATGTGAGATGCGGATTTCACTTAGTGAGGGGCTCAACTCTGCTTAGAGAATTGGGATGCAGGAATAAAGATGAGTCTCTGTTTAAAGTAGTATTTGGAATAAAGGATTAGTTTTTCTCTTAAGATAGTCCCATGTTCAAATCTTAATTGTCATTAAGCTTTGTCTACTGACCAGTGGTGACTTCAGTTATTAAAAGGGCCTGGTGTTGATCTCCATCTGGGGCATTGCACACACAAGGCATTAAATAATAACTTTTAAGTGACAATTGAGTCACCTAGACAGTTAGGGTGTGGTGGAGGCCCAGAAGAGAAAGAAATCATCACATGGAAGATGAAAGAGTGACATAAAGTGAATCGGAAATTCCAAGATAAGAAGAACACTTAGTTCTGGTAGACAGAGTGTGGTAATTTGTGGATTTGTGTTGACACTAGTGGCTACCATGGACAGTAGCAGTGTTTTAATAGTCAAAGACTGGACTGGAAAAAGAACGTATGCCCTGCAGGAGGCATTGGCGTCGCTATGTTTGGAAAAGCAAAACATCAGTCACCTGGGTTTTAAATATTCATATGAATTTACAAAAAGTCTTCATAAATTAAAACATTTCAGCAAGCTATTCTAGGCCTGTTCTAGTGGCCCGTATGAGGTAGTGGCTGGAGATGGTTGGAGAGAATTACAGTCTCCTTCTGTTAGGGGGAAAAGGATGTCCCAAAGCAAATTCCATATAGGCTTTGTGGACTCCACCCCCACCCCAGGTCAAAGCCAAAGACACTGGGAACTCCAAATCCCATCACCACCAAAGGGAAGGTGGCTGGGACCTGAGGGTGGGGTTAAGCAGCCAGGTGGATATAAAAGGCAGACACGTGGGCTTTGGGGATCCCCCATTTTTGGCTCTCCACCAGCTCGCAGCGTCCGGCCAGCTCTGAGAGTGACTTTGGGTTTCCAGGTCGTCGGATCGGGTAGGACGCATTAAAGACTTTATTTCCCTATTTTCTCCCTGAGTTGTACATTTTCCTTATTTCCTTTTCTCTTGTAAATAAACCTTGTATTAACCTGTGTGTGTCTGTAGTGGAGTATTCATAAGTCCCTTTAAAGCGCGGGTGAGGACCCACAGCCAGGAACCCATTTAATATCGGGATTGCTCTATAACACTTCTATGGTTCTAGTAGGTTATTCAGCTTTTCATGACTCAGTGTCCTGATTTCTAAATGGGACAATGCTTTGCTGACTTAAGAGAGTCATTGTGAAGATTAAATGTGATAAGCTTGTGAAACAACTTATATAAGGTTTTGTAACCTTAGAGATAAATTGTCACTAAGCAAAACTTTTTCCTCTTTGGATTTTCATATACTTTTTAGATTTTTTTTTTATACATACGGTTTTGTAACTTAACTTATTTATTTATTTTATTATTTATTTATTTTTTTAATTTAAATTTTATTTTTATATTCCCCATACAATTACAACCCCCTTATTTTTACCCCAAGCCCTCCTTTCCCTGCCCCCCACCCCCCATAGAGTGTCTCTTGTTCATAGTTATTTGTTGATTTTGATATTTTCTTTCTTATAGTTATTCATTTTTCTGGTCCCTTATTTAAGTTTTCTAGATTCCTGCTATGAGTGAGACCATCCGGTATTTTTCTTTTTCTTTCTGGCTTATTTTGCTGAGCATGATCCCTTCCAGGGACATCCATGTTGCTGCAAATTGCATGTGTTTATCTTTTTTGAATGCTGAGTAATATTCCATGGTGTATATGTACCACATCTTCTTGATCCAGTCATCTATTTTGGGGCATTTGGGTTGTTTCCAAATCTTAGCACTATTTACCTTTTAGATTTTTACCAGCTGGAGGTGTTATTTTCAACATCAAGATATGTAGGGTGGCATTTCTTTTTTTAAATTTTTTTAAAAGATTTATTTATTTATACAAGAACTGGGGTACAGACCAGAGACTTGGGAGGGTGAGAGTATTCACCAGAGACAGAGTGGGGAGCAGAACAGGCAGATGGACGGAAGACACTGCTGAGGGAAGCAGCGGGTGAGGCAGAAGAAGTCTGCCACGCCATGTGGGTTTCTCCCTGGTAGGCCGGGAATCGAACCCACTCTGCAAAGGCTGCAGACAGCTTCACAGAGCAGCGCTCAACCTGCTGTGCCACGGGGGAGGCGCTAGGATGCTATTTCTATGTCTTTAAAAAAGATGAAGTATAATTACTGACAGTGAAATCACATAAATTGATGGAAATCCATAGGTTGATGGATTTTGACAAATACATATATCCTTGTAACTCACACCCCTATTAAGATACAGAACATTTCCATCACACCAGGGCATTTGCACGTTCCTCCCTCCAGCCCTAGGACAACCACTCTTCTGATTTTTATCGCCCCAGATGAATTCTGCCCTCCAGAACTTCACCTAAACAAAACCATACATTATGTGTTTTTGGTGCTTGACTGCTTTTGCTTAGCACAATGTTTTTGCAGTCCATCCACATTGTTTTCATGTATTCAGACTCCTTTTTCATTTGCATCCTTCCAGGACACCTTTGATAAGGAGAAGAGAGATTCCAGTATTAAGGAGAGGGAAGCACAATTGGACTCTGACTTGATTGCAACGCGAAATCAACTCAACCAGGTTCAAGACGAGTAAGAGGAATGCAAGTTATCTTTTTCCGAAAAGAATTTTTTGTTTGTTCTTCATTCAATTTTTAAGTTTGGAAGGAGAATAAGGACTCATATAAAATGTACATATTTGCAAATAAGTAATTTGTGGGTATGAGTTGAGAATCGTGAGTTGGGGCACAGACATCTATATATTATAATCCCTATAATCCTAGTCCCCTTGACTCCATGCCTGGAGCTCCTCCTTCTCCATAAGTGTATAAGCAGTACGTATTTATAAACAGAGGAAGATTGTTCCACGAACATCTCTCTTTTGAGAGGAAAATTACACAAGATGAAGAAGGGGAGGGCTAAAGAGAGTGAAAAATCAGGTAAAGAAAAAAATTGAGAGAGCAGAAGTAAGATGAAGTCTGCTGTTTCTGTTGGTCAATTGTACTCATGTCAAGGGTATATGTGCACCTGAAACAGTCATTCTATAAAAAAGGAACATTTCACAATTTTGGATAACTGTTAGGTATAAAAATGTATTTTAAAAGTCGAGCAATGCAGCAACAGACGTCAAATAGGTATTATGTGTAAAGTCAGGGTAGCAGTAAGGAATCACAGCAAAGAAAATTGCCAACTCTGCACGTGTTCTTGAGGAAGATAGACAGATGTGGATGAAATGGCATTCAGCACACCTACCCCACACCCAGCAGTCAGCCGTCTGTCCTACTCTAGCATTGCTCCACTGTTGACTCGGTGTGGGACAATGAGGAATCTTAAAACTAGTTAAGGCCTGCGATGGAGCACAGTAGGTCATTGTTCTATGAGATTTCCCCCTAAGGAAAATAGCTCCATGCCATCACAAAAGTAATACAATTTACTTCTTAGAGTGCATACAACACATCAAAAAACAAGGTGAAAATCACTTGTTATCTTCTCCCCATTAGCGTTTGGATTGTGCCTGTTCTTTGTGTGTGCTTGCAAGTGCACATGGAGTGACGGTCACACAGCCCCATTTATGTTTCCAACAGGATTCACAGTCAGTGGGTAGTTTTATAGCCGTGGGAGTCAAAATTTGCAACCATAACACATAAAGTATAATTCTTTTGCATTCTCAGAACTTATTACAATTAATGTCAGCTGAATTTGTAGTGCAGTAAGGAGGATTCTTAAATTTGCCACTTCTTCTCTGGTTTACTGTAATCTTTTTTATGTAAATATTCCAAATTCAAACTTCTAGGGTTTTTGCCCTCTCAAGGGATTCATTGTCTTCCTCCTCCCTCAGGCTAACATCTAGGGGTTGAGGGATACTTGCATGCGCTCCTGGTGCTGGGGGAGAGGGCTTTGGTTTTGTGCTGCACCCTGGGTTCTGGCAGACCTGAGTTCCACCTGGGCACTAGCATCTAATGCTGATGGGCACTGAGTTGTGGCTTGTTTGGTTAGATCCCCGGGGCATTTGCTTGTGACTACTCCTGCCACACAGGTCTCCATTTGTCTCTTATTTGAGAGCTAGACTTCAGGATTTTGCTAGTTGGCTCTTGACTTTTGCTGCACCAACTGGAGCCAGGGATTCTACCTCTCATCCCTATAGCTCTGTAGTTACTCATGGAGGCACCCTGTACCAGGAAACTGTGAACACTCTTTAAACAAACAAACAAACAAACATTATTGCAAACATAGAAAATTTGTAAGATAGTAGCAACAACATCTAGTCACCCTTTGCCCTATTTGCTTTACCATTTGTAATGTGTTCTCTCTATATATATATATATACCCTCATTCTCCACCTCATTTGAAAACTGCTAATAGAAAGGTATTTGCTGCATGACCCAGGATTTCCTAGTTTCGTCAGTTTGTTTTTTAACCCACCTGGAGTTCTCATTCTCTTTTATTTGAGACATCATAATTGATGGTGTCTGTCCCTTACCTTCTATGACAGCCAGCTCTCTCTCCTTCTCTTCTTTTGCCCACCTGACTCGAAAGCCAGGGTGCCACCTACTGTGGAATGAGTCACCCACAAAGGAGGTTTCCCATGTCTCACCTGTGGGACACCTGTTTGATTGTGACCCAGTTTCAAAGGTACAGATGCCTATACAGTACTGAATGGGGACAGGTCTGCCCAGCTTTGGCAAACCCCAGAACGCATAGTCTCTGGTTATGAATCTCACTCGTGTTCATCTCCTTGGTGCAGCCTGTTCCATTATCCACTTGAGTCTATCATCTACACATCTCCTACACCCATCCCTTTTTTCCCTCTTCTCTCACTGTTGCCCTATTTCAAGCCTCTGATACCTGTAGCGTCAACCAGTTGCTTTCTAATCAGTTTCTCTGCTTTCACTCTTGCTCTATGACAGCCCCTCTCCCACATAGGAATACAGATCATTTTATGGTATCAAATCACCTCGCTGAAAAAGCTGTCATTAGCCTCCTTTTAGATATTGTAAAAATATTCTAAAATTCTTTCCTGGGCTCTTGCAGGCCTGTGTGATCTGGCCAGCCTCTCACGCTACCCTCAGCTCAGGCCAGTTTGCCCTCACTGGTCTGTGTTCTGCTCCCTTGCTGTACGCTCTTTGCTCATGCTCCTGCAGAAAAGAGCGAGTCCTCCATTGGCTCTGTGATTGGCTGACCTTTATTATTCCCTGGTCTCAACTTGAATGTGACTTCCTCAGAGTTGGCCTGTGAGCAGTCTACATCAAAAGACCTTCCTTCTCCTCTCCTTCAGTGCTCCTCACAGATCTAAGAATGCACTTACAATTTGGGACATTAAAAAATTTGTTTGCATATTTATATTCTGCTAGACTGTAGGCTCCAAATGGCATCTTGTATTGCTGTTTTTACACAGTTGTATCTTCAACACTCAACACCATACCTGGCATATTGTAAATTCTCAATAATTTCCTCAATGGACTAATACATCTGTAAAACTTTTAAATGTTAACCTGCATAAAACAGTGCTTAGCACATGAATGTACCCCTGTTTCTTCTCCATATGTCATCTGAGGGCACCAAATTAGCATGTATGTTGCTTGAATGTATGTGTTCATACTTGTGTGTCATGTCTTGAGAGAAAAATACCGTACTTTATTCCTGTTCATATTCTATTTCCTCTTTTGATCTATTTTCTTCTTTTAATTTTCTGTGGTTTGATTAGAATGTTCATTTTCCTATATATAATTTTAAACACACATAACATTCACATTTGAATTAAATCATAACAGTTTTCTTTCAACCTCTAGTAGTCCTGTCATATATTATCTGGTACTTTGGATTTGTCTTAGACTTTAGACATTTCATTCGTGTGTGTGTGTGTGTGTGTAATATCTACTGTGTGACAAGCTCTATTTTAGGTGCTGGAGGTAGGAGATGAATAAAACAAAAATTTACCCTCAAGTAGTTTACAGTGTGTTTGTAATGAGATTATAAATGTGAGCCATTTGTTGGAGGAGCTCAGGAACAGGGGAGACAAGTGCTTGAGAGAGCCAGGTGTGACATTTGGAGTGACACTCAGAGGATGGAAGAATGGGGACTTTTGAGAGGAGGGACAAGGGAGGAGATAGAATTTTGGGTATCTCACATTACCTCCTATATTGTCTGATTGACTGGAATCTGTGGGGACTTGGTAGGGTTTCTGCTAACCCATTATTGCTCAATCTACTGCCCTGTCTAGGGGAGGCCTCCCCAGTGTTTGATCTTCCCTTCCTCATCTGAAGAGGAGTAGGGAGACAGGTGTGAATTAGAAAGCAGGTGCTCTTTCTTAGCTGCAGGACTACTGTGATGAAAGAGTGGATGTCCCAGGAAGGTAGGGTCAGAGACATCAAGGCCCCTCTGGACCTCTCACGGGCCCATTGCAACTTAATTGGAAACCACTTACTGATGGTTCCAATGGATGATGGATGTTCCTCATCCAACATCATTCATCACATTCTCATTTCTTTTTACCTCTAGCTACACTTAAAGACATAGTATCACTTATTATGATTTGCCTCCAGTGAAGAGAGTCCTTTGTACAATGATTGAGTTATGTTGAAAATTCAGGAAAAATTTTGCCCAGTAAGTGATGGAAGGCAGAGGCAGGAAGACACACTTGGTAGTCAAATGTAATTGTGCTCTCTTCTTTATAAAGGGGCAAATTATTATTATTTTTATTTACTAAGACTGGAAAATTAAGTCAAATGCAACTCTACAGTGCAGTGTAATAAAAATTGGTATTATATTACAAAACAGTGGAGATTTTGTAGAGAAAGGTACCTGGGGATTTGATATAATTAGAGCAGATGAATTAGGAGGGTGAGAAGGAGAAATTGAACAGGTTTCTTCGTATTTTACATTCAAATATTGACAAATACATAGTTTTCTAGAGATAGTAGCTCTATAATATTTTTGGGCTCGACATGAGGAAGGATGCTGGCATGTTTTTTCATGTAAGTGCACCATAATATTTTCAATATCATCTGATTGGATGCAGATGCCTTATAATTTGATCTTATTTATGTTGAATTTGTATCATATGCCAGTGTTCCCAAGAGAACCTATTCCTAGATTTAGAAAGTCTACCAATTTGGAAAATCTGTCTTTAGTTACTGATTTCTCTTACAGTCTGGCTGCAACTGAAAAGACTATTGAAGAAACCAAGACCAGATCGACCATATCCCTTTTGGCTGCAGAGGAGGAAATAAATCAGCTAAAAAAGCAGTAAGAAAAAAAAAATGACAGGATTATTGCAGCCTGCTGATTAATCTTTGAATTTAGCTTTTTGGGTGCTCCATTACAATATGAAAGAGCCTGTTCACAATCAAAGAGGAAAGGCAGCAATATTTTCATTAGTGTCTTACATATCTTTCTTACCACAAAAACATGATCAAAGCACAATATAGTATAAAAGGATCCAAAAGTCTCTTATAATTTGTAACCTCTTATAATTTCAGAGCCCATTATTATTACCATTTGACATTTCTTACAATTAGCACATTGAAAATAGACGTAAAATTACAAATTAATTTAAGTGTACACCTATGGACCCCATTTTTTCACTTAGTGGTATTTTTCTCTGTTTCTAGGGAAAAATTGCAGCTTAGTGGTAAATAGATGCATCCTCTCACATTTCTTGGGTATTTCTCTAATAATGAATATTTACTAATTTTTGATACTAATTTTCCACATTAGAAATAATGTGACTTTTTTGGTGGCAAGTCTTAGTTTAAATCTCAGATTATTCTCTAAATAAAAATTTCTAGAAGGGGAACATAAACACTGATCCTTTAAGGTTATTCCTTTGTTGATCTTAATTTTGATTTTTTCCCCCAAAAAGAGCAAGTGGGACTTATCTTAAAAACATATGTGTGTGCACATATGAATACCTTTCTATTGCATCCATACATGTTCCAGTTCTAATTTCTTCAGGAACACCCATGCATTTTAGCTTCAAGTATTGTTCTGCATTCCACTACTGTTTCCCCTCTCATCATCATTTTAATGTCTTATTTTCTATTTGATGTATCTTCTCAAATACTTTGATCATATTAGTGATTTCTTACACCACCGATTCTGTTCTTTGCTGCTTTAGTGCAGCTTTGAATTCTGCTATAGCATATTTAGCTTCTCCATGTCCTCCTTAAACTTACCTTTCTACCTTTTATCTTACCTTTTGCTGACTTCATCATAGTTTGTCCTCTGCTTATGACTTTTCCTGTTATTTTTATGATGGCCATGCCTCTTTGTATCTTAATGAGCATGCCGGTTTTATTTCTAAAACTTTGTTTCTGTAATACATGATTTTCATAGACCTTAGTATTATGGAGAGTTATTCAGTTTCCATTGTAGTTTTCCTCCATATTCCATCTGTTCAGAGAACCAAAGATCTAGTGAGGGTAGGAGGCTGTGTCTTTGAGACCAGTTTCTGGACTAGGCTTTGGAGGTCAAGTGCTTGCAGAGTTTTGTGCAATTAAGATCACTTCATTTTAGAACAGTGTGGCTGTAAGCCGGCTCTGCTCTGGCTAGAGGGTCTGTGTGTTTATCCTTCCTTCAGGAGTAATTTTTTCCACACAAGCTGCATGCATAGATTGGCTTCTGACCCTGGCAATTCAGTTCTTTGTTGATTTGTGTTCACTCCTCTGTTTTTCCATCAGACTTTTCCAAGGTAATAGTGGCATACTAAGTAGTCACCTGCCTTAAGTATGCCAGTTGTTGCTTATCTTTCCTCCCTCCGTCTTCTTCCTTTCTTTAAATTTTTTTCCCCGCCCTGTTCAGGCTTAAGAATCTTCAAGCCCAGGAGGATGCCCGCCACAGAAACTCAGAGCACAGGGCCTCGGACTACAGTAGCAGGAGTTCGGAGCGTCGTCAGAGTTCTGACCGGAGTTCAGAGCGGGGTTCAGAGACGCGGAGGTCAGAGCCCCGAGGCTCTCTGCGCAAAAAAAGCGTCCGGGAGGCGCACAGCCCAGAGAAGCAGAGCACAGACCAGCAGTGCGCAGACGTGATATCTGATTACGAGAAGCAGCTCCGCACGCTCAAGGATGAGATCGCAGTTCTGTCTGCTGAAAAATCTGCGCGCCGAGGAAGGTTTGACAAATTCTCACAAATCTTTTCATTTCAGCCCCTTTTGTTGAGTTAGTGATCAAAGTCTGGCTCGGAAAACAAAACGAAAAAAGATACCCCGAATCCAAACCCTAACAATTTGGGGGGCCTTCTCCAGAAAGAGAAAACCTCTCCTGGATTAGGGGTCCCCCAACCTGTGGGCACTGATTTCCTTGGGGCTCACGTTGAAGCTTAAGGAATGAAACTGGAGAGATGGCCAGAAGGAGAGCTTTCTGGTTCGAGAAAAGATTTACCTAGAACTATAATGCAAGAGGTGGTATCCACGTGGAATGTTTCAAAATACGACTATAGGGCATTCCCTCTTTTATATTTCACTTTGATGGAGGTTGTAGGTGAGTGTTCTTGTGAAAGCCCCTCAATTGGTGGACAGAATGTTAACCAGGTCATTCAGACAGTGTTAAGTGAGGGCAAAGTGGGTTGTTTCTCTCTGGAATCTATTTTTCTTGCTTGTTCCACCCCCCCCCCCCATTCACTCCCACCTACAGTTCTCATTCCCATAAATACCACATTAGTCTTTCATTTTGGGGAATTGCTCTGCCAGGATTGTGCTAGTGCTGTTTGTACTGGCTCCCAGTAACTGATTTTTGTGCATTTCTGCCCAATTCTGAGTTCAGTGACTTCACATTGATAGCTTGACATTGGCCACAAGTCTTTACTGCATCCTGGAAACTGGCAAACACTTTCAGTGAGTCCCCACACGCACATCTAGAGAGCCTGCATTTTGCTCTGTAGTTTCTTCTATAAATAACTTCCCTTTTGGAGGGTCCATATTCTTTGTCTGATAATTACTAGCAATGCCCTTTTCACTGAATCAGTGCTTTTCTATTCACTGAGTACTTAGACATGTACACCCAATCTTCTGCTCTCCATCACCAAACAGTACAAACTGTATGTAGGTGAAAACTCAGACTCTGAACAGGAAAAATGATTGCAGTTGGTACTATTGGTATGACAAGGTAGAGTTGAGATGAGAACATAGACCTTCCTCATCGTTCAATCAGTGTTCATCCCACTTTATACCATAAGGTTCGTGTGATGTGTTAGTACCCTGATTTTGGTATAAGAAATACTGAAGACTTGGTTTCTTTAACTCTGGCTTCTGATAACTGGCTCTAGGCCATCTGGTTATCTTTTCTGAGTACAAGTTCCTCATATGTAAGATGACCAGCAGTCAATGCTGGCCTCCCACAGCAGCAGATCAATTGTGGTACTTAGAGAGTAGAAATGTTTTATAAGTTCTACTTCACTATGCAAATAGTATTTCTTGGTTGTGGTCATATTTGAGGTCTCATGCAAGAGTCATGGAGGCAGCCATTTTGCCCTGCCTGCAGAGTCTAGGTCTTGTGGGTACCATCTGCGGTTTGTGTGGGGAGAAGAAGCAGAGCACTTCCTGGCCTGATTCTTGCATACCCGCAGGTCCACCAGGAGCCGGTCTCCTAGCCCTTGCCGTGGCAGCCGCAGCCACAGCCGCAGCCACAGCCGTAGCCACAGCCTCAGCCAGAGTCGCCGTCAGAGTCGTAGCCACAGCCCTAGCCACAGCCGCAGCCAGAGCCGCAGCCAGAGCCGCAGCAGGTCAGCCAGCCCCACCACCGCAGTCGCCAAGGTCAGGACCCCATCTCCGAATCGTGCCAAACTGTCCAGTGTGGCACGAAAGGCTGCCCTCTTGTCCCGGTTCAGCGATGCCTATTCTCAGGCCCGCCTGGATGTGCAGTGCTTGCTGCGGCGCTGCATCGACAAAGCTGAGACGGTGCAGCGGATCATCTACATTGCCACCGTGGTAGGTGACACTCAGCGCACCACTGCGCTTCAGAGGTCCTTGGGCAATGTGGGGAGACAGCAGTTTGGTCAACTGAACAGTACAGTTTAAAAAATTACTCTAAAGTCACTGAAGGAGGGTGGGATTTCCAGCTGCTTCCCACCCCCCCCATCCCTTCCCTGTCATTCATTACTGTGGGATGAATCGTATTTCACAGTTAATAACTATTCATATATTAATACTTCTGTTGACCAAACATTTATTGACATCTCCATAAATGTAGGACTATCTCAAATGGGTTAATACGGAGTGTGGATTTATCCTGAATCTTCTAATGTGGGCATGAGTGTTCCAGGGTATACATTATTGCCAAAGGCTGTGATTTTGATTGATTTTCTTCTATTCTTAGAAAAACCAGAAGACTGATGGCATTAACTTTTTTGTTTATTTAACTAAGATTAGTTACTAATGCATAATATATTGGCAATATATTAGCTGCTTGAGTATGGCAGATTAAAAAGTGCTTATATTTAATCCTTAGTTCCCCAAACAAAATCATTTTTTCTATAGGTACCATATTGAGATACTGAGTCTTTTATGGGAACAGTTAAATATGACAAAATAATGCATCAGTGTAAGAAAAGAATTATCAGCTACTGAACTTATCCCATGTATTTATTCATTTATATCACAGGTCTGAAAACTATGACCTGTGGCCCATATGTGGCCCAGTCTATCTCTGAGAGAAATGTCACCCAAGAGCTACGAATATAAGGCTGTTATTTTAATTTTAATTTTTTTTTATTTTTTAAAGATTTATTTATTTATTTATACTAGCATTGGGTATAGTCAGAAGCACGGGAGGGTGAGAGAATTCACCAGAGCCAGAGCCGGGAACAGAATAGGCAGAGTGACGAAATACCCTGCTGAGGGAAGCAGCGGGTGTGGCAGGAGAGGTCTGCGCGCCGTGTGGGACCCTCGCCAGTGGCCGGGGATCAAACCGGTGCTGCAGAGGCTACGGGCAGCTTCGCAGCCCAGCTCTCAATTGCTGCGCCACCAGGGGAGGCCCATAAGACTATTTTTACATTTTCAAAGGTTTGGGGAAAAGAGTGATGGAGACAACATGTGACCTACAAAGCCTAAAATATTAAAAAATATTTAAATATTTAAAAATAGTTCATATTTGCCAACCCCCTGGTTTATGTAATTAAGCATCACTGAGTGGGTTGAAGTTGTGTAAGTGTAGCAGCTATGTCTTTCATGCATAACTGAGTTTTCTCAGGGTATGCTATATTATACATACTTAAGTGTTTATTGAATTAATAAATGCCCAGAAACATGCCAGACACTTGGTAGTGACTATATGACATAATCGCCTGCTTGATTATTTTCTTTTATTTCTTGACCAGTGATAATATGCTGCTGTGGGATCCCAGTTTCCATTTACTTTTCAATTACTCATGTAACCCCAGGTCATTGATCTCTCTAAATCTGTGTTCTGTCCTACATCTGGGATTACCATAACAATGGTGATCTGTATTGAAATTAGTGGGTATAACTAGTCATATGTATTTGTGTACTTTTCAAAATTTAGATGTATTTTTTCTTCCAGATTAAAAATAGTTTTGGTCACTTTGTTTAGTTAGTAGAATCCAATAGGATGTTGAACATTTGATGGACATTCTTTTCATTCCTTGCTTTACATCTTTTCCTTCTACCAAATGAATTTGCGGCTTTTTTATGTATAGGAGGCATTCCATGTAGCTAAGATGGCATTCAGACATTTCAAGATCCGTGTGAGGAAATCATTGACACCATCATATGCAGGGTCGAATGACTTTGAGGATGCTGTCTCGGATTATATCATCTGTCATCTTGATCTCTATGATTCCCAAAGCAGTGTTAATGTAAGTGTCAGATCTCTTATTGCAACTGGTTTGCAGCTGCTGCTATTTGAATGCTAATTTGAATACTAATTTCAACACTACACTGAGTACTAAGAAATCAGAAATCCATCCAGTGCTTAGTATTGCTTCTATGTTTAAAGAGCATAAATGAGCAGCAAGCAATTTGCTTTGTAGAAACAGTTATTCTCAGCAGTTTCTTTCTTAGACTTTTTATGGGGAAAAATATTCTGAATTTTATAGTCCTAGTGTTTAGATGGGCCTTTAAGATTGAAAGAGATGATGCCATCCATAGTGCTTCAGAGCAATGGCTTTGGGAAAGAGGATGGATTTGCATCCTGGTTCTGCCAATTCCCAGCTGTGTGACCTTGTACCTTTACTTCACCTCTCTGTGCTTTCGTTATTTAATCTTTAAATGGGAGTAGCAATGGTCATGACCTCATAGAGTTCTTGAGAGGACTGAATGAAAGCAAAAGCAGGTAATTTGCTTAGCACAAACCTTGGTACATAGTAAATTCTCAATAAAAGCAAGCTATAATAATTGTTATTGCTTGGGTTATGAACAAATCAGAGTTCTGTGTTGGCATACCATAATAATTGCCTAAAATAGAAAGGTAGAGAAGTAATAAGGAAAAGCCAGGAATGAATTTTTCTTTTCTTTCTTTCTTTCTTTCTTTCTTTCTTTCTTTCTTTCTTTTTTTTTTTTTTGAGGCTCTTGGTTTTTAGACTCTCGGTCACTTTTGCTTCACGTCCTCTTCCTCCTTCCTGGTTAACGAGTCCTCCTCTAGTTGAACTTGTTTTTGCCCCCATAACTGGGTGCTCGTTTCCCACCTCCCATCTCATAATGCTGGAATTGCTAGAGCTTCTTCTCACAGCTTGGTAATAAGGTGATGCTATGTTTGTTTTTCAGGATGTGATCCGAGCCATGAATGTCAATCCCAAGATTTCCTTCCCTCCTGAAGTTGACTTTTGCATCCTCAGTAACTTCATCCAGGAGATATGTTGCATTGCCTTTGCGATGCAGACTTTAGATCCACCCCTAGATATTGCATTTGGGGCCGATGGAGAAGTTTTTAATGACTGCAAGTAAGAGACATAGGAGTAGCAGCTAAGGGGTTCTTTTTTTTTTTTTTTAAACTTTCATTTCTTCTTTTTTTTAAATATTTATTTATTTATTTATACAAGCACTGGGTACAGTCAGAAGCGTGGGAGGGTGAGAGAATTCACCAGAGCCAGAGCGGGAAACAGTACAGGCAGAATGACGGTACACTGCTGAGAGGAGCAGCGGGCTCGGCAGGAGAGGTCTGCGCACCATGTGGGACCCTTGACCGGCGGCTGGGGATCGAACCGGTGCTGCAGAGGCTGCAGGCAGCTTCGCAACCCAGCGCTCAACCGCTGCACCACCAGGGAGGCTCTAAGGGGTTCTTTAAACATAAATCATCTTGTCTCTATTTCCTGGGGATAATTTGGGGTAAATAACTCTTGGTGGGAAAATTAGGCATTTCCTGGGTTCCGGACTCTGCCATTTACTTCTCTGTACTATAGGGCAGGGCCCTCTTCTGGGGTGATTTCCTTCCTCAATCAAATGTGATTCAGAGGTGATGTTATGATTGCCATTGAACATATTGGTCTTGTGGGGAAAGAATGAGTACCTGGAGCCCAGAACATTTCTATATAAATACAAACTTCTCTTTTTATTGGTTTTTAAAAAATATTTTGAGATATAACCAACACATAAACATTGTACGGTTTGTGTTTGGGATATATACTGCAATGATTCTGTATGTGTATATATTGTAACATGATGACGGTAAGTTTCGTTAACACTTGTCCCCATACATAAATTACAAAAATTTTTTTCTTAGAGATAACTTCTAAGTTCTATTCTCTTGGCAATTTTCAAATATGCAATATAGTATCAACTGTTGTCCATCACATTCCCATGACTAATTTATTTTATAACTGGAAGCTTGTGCCTTTTTGACCCCCTTCACCCATCTTGCCCACCCCATTCCCAGCATCTGGCAATTGCTAATTTTTCTCTGTTCTATGACCTTAGTATTTTTCTTCTTTTTTTTAATATCCCACATGTAAGAGAGATAATAAGGTATTATTTGTCTTTCTCTGCCCTACCTTGAGGTACACCCATGTTGTCACAAATGATAAAATTTCATTCTTTAGTGGATGAATGCTATTCCATATGTATGTAATAATATGTCATGGGTATCTTAAATATATCACATTTTCTTTATTCATTCATCAGTGAATAAATGGGTTATTTTTCACAGCTTGACCATTGTAAATAATGCTGCATTGAACATGGGGGTGCATATATATTTTAGAGTTAGAGTTAGTGTTTTTGTCTTTGCATGAATATCCAGAAGTGGGAGTGCTAGATCAAATGGCAGGTTCCACTTATTATTCCAGACTGTTGAGCTGTTTTTCGATACTGTCATCTGGTTTTTTTCTTTACCCACTCCCCACTGTTGGGTTCTTTTCTCCCTACACTTCATGGACATCAGTGATGGGCATGTTGATTTATCATGGGACTCAGAGAGCCCTCCCCATTTTTATTCAGGCTCTCACTGACCCATTAGCTGCCCATCTTTCCACAGGATTATTGAGTCACTTTCCAACCCACCTACTTAAGTCAGTCACCCCCTACAGTTTTTGTATTTTGTCTACAAAGATAGATGAGAAATATTGAAAAAGCCCATGAGACTTCAGTGGTTCACATAGTTAGCATTTCCCTAAATTGCAGCTTTTGTAATCCTCAGAAGAGAAGGAACAGGATTAATTTAATATGACTTGTTCTTAGTGAGTTCATGCTGGTTCCTTGCTAACACTAGCTCTTATTTTAAGAGTCCACAATCATTTTAATAACAGAATCATGATTTATATTTATCTAGATATGAACATAATAAAAAATGAAATTTTACACTGGTGCCCTCCCTCCCCCACAGCTTATGGTACATAATTACTTATCGTTGCTTGTGCTTTTGTGTGTTTATTACAGGTACCGTCGCAGCTACGACTCTGATTTCACCGCTCCTCTGGTCTTCTACCACGTGTGGCCTGCTCTCATGGAGAATGACAACGTCATTATGAAGGGAGAAGCAGTTACTAAGAGAGGGGCTTTTGTACGGTGGCCTTGCATAATGACAGTTCATCCCCAGTGTTTGATTCACAAGTTCGAGAACATTTATAAAGCCAGAGATTCTATAACAGAAGTATAAAGAATTATTTGATAAGATTTCATACAAAGGAGACAAAAGGAACTAGCTGGGAAAGGTTCTTTGGTTCCTTCACCGTTTCTTGGAATTAACTGGCAATAATTTCTCTGTTGCCTTATTTATAAGATGGAACTAGTCCTACTTGCCTCTTCCATCTTAGAAATATAATGCTATAGTAAGGGCAGAGCCCTTTCAGCTTACTTATTTAGAGATCCTCTATATTTCTAGGCATTTAAAAGTGAGTACTTAATTGGATATCATTTATATTTCTGAGCATTTAAAAGTAATTAACTTTCAGGAAACATTTGTTCAATTTTTACCCAGCATTCTCCATTTTAAAAAATGGTGAATATGCCCTGCTTTTCTCTCCTTGGTATGATATGTAGGAAGAGGGGAGAAATAGAGAAAAAGAGACAGAGAAGGTGGGGAAAGAGGAAGCAATCAGTTTTGGAAGGACTGTTTTGAATATGTTAAATGACTGGGCAGCCTTCTAAATGGAGTCCTAGGTCTGCAAGTCTATGAGTGTGTGTCTTGTGTTGGTGTTGGAACAGGGTGACCACAGTTGGCTTGGATAGTCTGTATAATTCATACCATGGAGTTTTAACCTTGCCCTTCCTAGAAATGGTTAAGTAAATTATAAAATGAAGCTCCTCAGTCCAGAGCAGACCTGAGTGGTCTTTGTCTCTGTTCTCTTTGAACAGAGAATGGGGAAGGTGCATCATGGTAACCTTTCACTTATATCATGGAAGTGGAGAGTACAATTTAAGAGACCTTAAGCTGAAACATTCCACTATAGATAATAGTATCTCAGTAAACTATTTTGTGCTGTGAAAGTTCAGCACATAGAAAATTGAGTTGTGTTGACCTGACAGCCCCGTGTGCTTTCCAGTGAATGAGCTCATAAGACAGGCTTCTTGCCCCTGCAGTAATCACCATCTGTTAGTACACTCATTGTGGACTGTCCTCAGTGCAAGGAAGAAAGAGCAAGTAGCCACTGTTCTTAGGTTCTACATGACATAGCAGCTGCCTTTTAATTTCCTCCTTTCCCATCAAGCATTTCACCATGTTTGCCCAAGCTAAAACTCTCAAAAGTCTCAAAATTACTGTTACAGGGCAGGGAGAGGGGCAGCCCAAACCCTGCAAAACTGCCTATTCTAAATGGGTTCTGCCATCCACCACATCAACGCAAAACATATGAGACTTTAATGGGAAGGAACTTTAATACAACTAGGAAACAATAGAGGAAAGGCAAAGAATCAAGTTTCTAAATCAAGCACCCAAAGTTACCCGTTCCCTCGTGGGTAAAACTCCATCCAAATGGGATTGGCTCAGAGCAAGGCCCCAAAGCCTGCCACAAGTCTAAAGTATCTTCCAGTGGGGACCCACAGAAAAGGGTCAGAAACAACCAGACAAGCCTGGAAGGAAAAGAGCAAAATCAAAATCAAGATAAAAGCTGCCATTGTCACCTCCCCACGGGTCTCACCCACATCTGTGTCACCCAGTCCACGACCAAAAGACAAGCGCAGTTTCTTCACGTGTCTCTAGGCTCCATGTGCCTCCTCCAGGTCTCCTTCTGGCTCCATCCTGCTTCCTCCCTCAGTCTCCTCTGCAGCTTCTTCTCTCCCTGCTCAGCTCCACCCTCCCTTGGGTGGGGCAGGAAACCTGGAACCTCCCCCTTTCCTGGGGACCACCCTGTTACAATCACCCTTTTAATTTTTATTCCACCATATCTATGGTGGCACAGATCTGGGACCACCCTGTTACATGACTTCCTCCAAAAAACAACTCCTTCCTTTTAGAAGAAGTTGGAAAAAAGATAGGATTGAACAAAGAGAAATTTGGCAATAACTGGCAGTAATTTTTTGCTGGTAAAATCTCATTACAGTGAATATAGTTGTCTTCATACTCACTAAAGAATAGGTGGCAGCAGTGGTAAGTCATTCAATCACTCTTTAATTCATTTTATTAAATTATTACACAATTATTGATGATCCAAGCACTGTGCATAGGTGTTAAGGATTCAGCAATAAACAGACACAAATCCCTGCCCACAGGATGCTTATATTCTTCAACACTTGCAGATTTAAATGTAATTTCTTAACAATTTACACATTAAAACAAAATTCTATGAACATCAAGAAATTGAACATACCGAAGTTCATTGTAATGGTATTTTATTTGAGAAATACCATAAAGATATTGTCAAAGATTGGACAGTTATAGGGAATGACAGGAGACTACCTCATGCTGGTGGCTGGAAATGGGCATTGCAGTCAAACCAATCTATGTGCAATGCCTCTCATTCACGGCATCTGCTTATTAAGCCCTGTGAGTTATCACAATCGATTGACTCATTTTTTTCTTCTTTCTTTCTAGTGGAATTCTGTGCGATCTGTGAGTCGATGTCGAAGCAGGAGTTTAAGCCCCATCTGCCCCCGTAGCCACATTGGTTTAAGCACGGTACTTATCTGTCTAATCATTTTTACACAAACTATCCCCTAGTTGATTTTTTTTCTTCAACACTCCCCTATAAAGTTGGGTCATAGCCCAGGTGCAATCTGAAACTGGTCCCCATACACAGGGGGCACGGAGCAGCTGAAGGAGAAGGCAGTCCATTCCATTTTGGCAGGTGGCAGTTTTAATAAGGGAACTTTGCTTGGGCAATTGCAAGACAAGTAGTTTTCCATGCCTGCCCCCAAATGTGAAATGTTTTTATAGTGGATTTAACTGGTTTAGTTGTATGTGCCATCCATATGGTTCTAGAAACACACTTTAGCTCAGGGATATGTCCTTGTTTAGTTTGTGGGATTGGGGAAGGCAAGGGGAACCCACATTCCCAGGAGTGGTGGTGAGGAAGCTCTGTTGACCAGGTTTAGCTCCTCAGTCAATAGGCAGTCACTGTCTTTTGATTGTCTTCCCTGTCATTCTACCCCTCAGTGGCATGTCCACACGCCCCTCCCCCACACCCTCTCCAGTCTTCCTATCATAACCTGTTTCCTTCAGTCTCTATAGACACTGTTTTGGTTCTCTCCCTGGGGTGTGTATGTGTCAAAGGCTGATTAGATTTACAACTTCAAGGAGCAGAGGAAAAAAGGGCAAATTTCCGCCTAAGAGTTTTGGGGTAATTGCTATTTAAAGATCTTTCCTCACTTTCCAAGGGATTTTCCTCTTAGCATCTTAATCAGGCTTTGTTGCAAGTTCTTGGACCTCAATCCACAGCAACGTGAACTCTCCTACCTTTGCAAACCAGCACGCTGAGGTTTCTAACTTTAGTTCTTCCAACTTTTAACTCAAGTTCAGCCTCAGTTGGGCATTAGTAGTCAACTGAACTGCCCACAGCAGAGGCCTGCCTGCTGCAGCAAACATTCCTTTCTCTTGTTTGCCACAGAGTGCTCTGCACAATTTTCAAACAAGCACATTAAAGCAGCCCCCTACTCACATGGCCGTTCCAGCACCAACCTCCCCTCTCTACCCCGCACATAGTGGCCAGCACAAGATTCCCTTTCTGATGCTCCTCCCCAAAGCCAGGCAATTAGGAGGCTGGTGCAGGCCACCCCTCCCTATTTAGAGATTGATGACAGCACAGGGCTCCCCCATCAATGCCTCTTTCCCTAGGCCCATTTCTTTGGTCTCCTGCCTAGTTACTAATAGTTGGCCAGCTTACCAGGTGTAATCTGAAAGGGCCTCTGTACACAGAGGGTAAGGAGAGAATGAAGAGAAAGACTGTCCATATTGGTAGCTGGCAGTTTTAATAACTGAAAGGTTCGGCGCGGTAAAGAAAAGGAGAGCCAGGCTACATTTCTCAAAGGGAGGGAAAGTTTATTGCGCCCCAGGCGGACCTCACAGACCCAAGGCGGGGGTCAGTGGAGTCGCGCACGTTGTTAGGGGGAAGCAGGGTTTTATAGGGTGAGGAGAGGTCAGGTGGGTAGTTGGGCTCTTTCGGCGGGAAAAGTCTGTAGGGCAGGTAGAGGTTCTTTGTCTGAGATGAGACTCTTAGTGGGAGGGGGGAGGCTCATTGTCTGAGTCCTCCAGGCAGGTATCAGCATTCCTGCCCCCCAGGTGGGCTTCCTGGTTGGCTCCTGCATTCCGGCTTTCTGCATGGACCTTTCAATAACCAAGAGAACTGACTGTGGAGGCTTTGTCTTGGGTGGCTGGAAGACAAGTAGTTCCCTCCCGGCCTGGCCTGACACCTCCCCCACTGTCAACATTTAGATAAAGGCTTAACTACTCCAGATGGCTTTAGAAACTCATTGTATTTCAGGGATCTCTCCTTGGGCAGCTTCTAGGAGCAGGGAAGACCAGTGAAGTACACATTCCTGGGCGGGGGATGCCAAGGAGCCTCTAATAGCCCGGCCCAGTTCCCAGGCCAGTAGGCCATCACTGTCTTGTGATTGTCTTTTCAACATAGGTGATTGTAAGTCTATAGTTTGGAAGAGAACCCCAAACTGCCCTGGGCTAAGGAATTTTTCATTCTAGAAAGAAGGAAGTAAAGGTAGTTTTATTTTCCTTATTTGAAAGAATGAGACTTTACTCATTTCATGGTTTTCATGGTTTTATTTTTATCTTTAAATGAAAACTGGCTATTAGATGTCAGTTAATCTTCTTAAAAGAGGGTGGGGCCCCTAAATCAACTGATCACAGTAGGCATCCCTGGTTACTCTAAAATGTATTTTCTGAATTTCGAGAAATAGCTCAAATGGTCTGGATTTCACTATTGTACAAAGGGCATTGTAAGTATTAATTTTCTTCCAAACTTCAAAATAGGAAGAATAAGACCAGTTTCTTTGTGTATTAGTTCTAGGGAGCATTATTAATATGTCTTTCAAAGAAAACAGCAGTGGAAACTACTCTGAAAACTAAAAACATTCTTATAATTCACCAGTGATCATATATTCAATAAATAATATTTAGTCAATGCCTTTGACTACAGAGGGCTGGACCAGGACATGTGGGCACCAGATAGGCTAATAATTTGCTGTTCCCTCAAAATAAAAATTCCTCAAATATTTTTTGACCTTGTTTTAGGGAGAGGGGTGGAGAACCACATCTGGCAACACTCAGCCTCTCTGAAATTATCTCTACCAGTGCAGCTCCAGCCCGAAAGTCCTAACAAAACCAAAACCAAGTGACCCCCACACTTAATAAGACCCTCCTTTCCTGCTGACTTTAATGAGCATCTATTGTTACTTCTACTTGTCCTTTATCAAACATTCCTTCTGTATCTGAAGGATTCTAATAATTAAAAATGGGCTTTTCCCTAAATGGCTTTCAATATAGGAAGATCAATACGATTAAACAAGGTAACTGAATATGTGAGATTTGATGTAGCTCATCAAAGAGGCGCAGAGAAGATAGATTTCTTCCACGTTTAGCAGTGAGGAGGGGGCTTGTGGGGGAATTGGTATTTGAGCTTATCTTTTAGACTGGATGGAATTTTAATGGGCTGGGAAACTGAGGAGAAATATCCAGATGAAGGAAATGGCTGGAGAATGAAAAAGCCATGTATTGGACACAGTTCTTTTGCTCATGGAGATTTTAATATAACACTCTTGTCCTTATTCATGAATACATATTTACAGTAGGCAGAAACAAAAGGACTGCATTTAGTGGGCTGTTAAAAAGGACATCTTGAGAGTTTTATACTGGAAGAATTGCAATTCTCATTCTAACAGGCATCTTCATCTCAGGAGAAAGAAAAATATTAGACCCCTTTGTGCTTACAGTCATGGCGAGTTTTACCACTGGGCACTCCAGGAAAGCTTATCTCTATAATAACCCCCTGGATAAATTTTTGCCTGGGAAGAACAAACTAAGCTTCAGATGAGAATAAAATATATCCTCAAACAGTTGCCAACTTTCTGATCCTTTCCCCCATCCTCTTTTTACAAAGGCTGGGTACATTTACAAAATAAAAATATTTTTGGTTAGTCTGGCTTTTTGCCTTATTTCAGTCTTCTTGGTGACCCATCAGGTCTTACATCATTGTTAGTGTGTATTTACCTAGAGCCTTGTGAAGCTTAGCACAAGGGTGATGCTTGTAGGCAGTTATTTCTGAGACGTGACAGACCTACAGGTACACATGGTGGCTTTTGTTCAATAAAAACAAAGCTAATATTTGAAAAATAATTCTTTTCTGGCTGCCCAATAGCCCTCCTCAGTACAGGAGCATTTAGGTATGTGAGATAATGCATCTAAAGGATCTGCCAGAGAATATTTGATCACTTTAACTTTAATTACTTATTTTAAATAATTACCCTAGTTATTTAATTATTGTTTTCTGGGAAACATTGAATTCAATATGACTCCTGAGTATCCAATCTCAAAATCTTTGGCAACCATTAAAACAAACAAACAACAAATAAATAGTCACTGAACCCACCTTTAATTAACAATATAAATGAAAATAAATTGAATGTTCATGGACTCGTAGTGCTTAGTAGGAGGAAAAATTGTAGACCTAACGTGTCTCAAGAGGGATTCAAAAACAAATCTCTGGTTTTAGGGGGGAAATGTCAAAACAATTCCTTCTTTGAGCTCTGTTTACTGTGAAATCCACATTACGCTTTTATATTTTCTAGATATCTCGAAGCCGGAGTCCTTCTCCAATAAGATGTGGATTGCCAAGTAAGTTTCAGATGGATCAACTTTCTGCTTTTTAATGCTCTTCTTAATAATCAGTCTTGGGGGCTCCCCGGTGGCGCAGCGGTTGAGCGCTAGCTTGCGAAGCTGTCCGCAGCCTCTGCAGCGCCGGTTCGATCCCCAGCTGCTCCCCACCTGCTCCCCGGCCACCACCGGAGGAGGGTCCCACATGGTGCGCAGACCTCTCCTGCCGCCCGCTGCTCCCCTCAGCAGTGTACTTCGGTCCTTCTGCTTGCTCTGCTTCCCGCTCTGGCTCTGGTGAATTCTCTCACCCTCCGTGCTTTTGACTGTACCCAGTGCTTGTATAAATAAAAATAAATAAATCTTTAAAAAAAAAAAATCAGTCTTGTACAGCAAAACAAATGTTTTGCTTCCTAGGGAATATCTTTTACTTCACGTGTTTCATTTCTGGACCTTCTTGTTGATGGTGCATAAGCAGTTTCCATGACTTGCATAGGCTAATAAATAATTATTATAAAGAATAATAATGACTTACATAGGCTAATAAGTAATTTTTATAAATGTTTAAATAAATAAGCCAATTGAATGGTTTATGAATGTGAACCTAGCTTAACCACCCCTGTTTCATTTACATCCTTTCTAAAGATCCTTCCCAATAATGAGCTTTTTTTTTTTCCTCCCCAGGGTTTTGAAACAACCAGCCATGTTCCTTTGCCGCAGAACATCTCTAACAGCGACTTCCCCAGCACTTGCCTCCACCTGCCTGCTGTGTCTGCCTCAGACCTCACTTAAGATAATGTGAAAAGGCAATTCTGTATCGCTGCACGCAGAGAGTTAAATGTTTTGGCTCAGTGCACTTGTAACTTCAGACAATTGCATTTTATTTTATTTTATAGATACAAATTCCATCAATTTGATAAAAACAATTGCATAGGTGTTTAGGATCATATTCATTTGAAGCAAAGTCCATCACCCAGGTTCAGGATTTCCTGAGAGACTAGACTTGTTTAGAAAACCTATATTAACAAAACTGGGAAATCTTTACTATGCTGATTCCAAAAGACAAGGCATTTTAGTTTACAAATTGATCATCAATACTGTAATTGCTGGTATTAGCTTTAAATTGAACACAATATTGTGGTTTTAATTTTTCTTTTAAGGTTTGGAAGACAGCCGTAAGCTCAGGGTGAAGAGCCCATACCAGTGGCTAAATGTCAAAGATGGTGACTCACCAGCTTGCAGCTCAGGGGCTTGTTTTCTTCTACTTTGAGAGCGGCCCCTGCAGTGGAGTGGAGAGTACTGTATACAGAAGATACTGGGGTTTTCCTGCTTCATGATGCAGAGCAGTGATTTAGATAGCAGCCAACTTTGTGCTAAATATTGATTGCTTTGTGTCCTCCCGCCCCAACTTGGGATGTTTCACCCTGTTTTAATGCACATGTAAATATAGAAGCTAGCTGGGATGTGTTACCATTCCTCCAGATTTTCACAAATTCAGACCTTCTGTGAACTTCTGCTGACAAAAATGCCTAAACTTAAGACCTAAAACCAGTAGCATTTTTTATTGATTTTCAAAGATCTGTCCCTTGGATAGCTTCCTTGCGAAGTGTTATTGAAAGTTCAAGATAATAATGGAGTGTGGCTTTCTCAAGATAAGTGATGCTGTTTTTGTACCTTTCTTTTTCACTTTAAAGACAACTTTAAGCACCAGTCTCACATGTAACTGTTTTCCCATGTGCCTTTTGAAGAGAAACTGGATTGGCCACAGCTCAGTTGGCATAAATTCAGTGTCAAACCATCACCTGGGGGACATCAGGTGAAAAAAACCCAGGTTTCTCTAAAGCATTTTGTCCCTTGTGCAGAGCTGAGGGGGCCACCACTTCAGCCCCCACCCTTGGGGGCTCCTCAAGTGTGAGGTTCTTTTGCTCCCTCTGTGGTTATGTGGCCATCGTTTTGCGGCAAGGCAGTGTTTTGGAAGGAAAACTTGGCCACAGGTAACTCTAGTTCCAACTTGGTCTTCACCTTTCTCTGTGCCCTGAACGACTTACTTCACCTCTCTGAACCTCAGTTTCATTGTAGAGTGAGGAGGTTGGACGAGATTAATGTCACAGCTGCCCCAGACTCTGACATATTTTATTCAGAATATGTTGAAATGAAATTCAAAGTTAATATAATCCAAATGCGTATCTCCTTTAAAACAATGAGTGCAGCATTATAGCTGTAAAGTAATTTTTAATGGAATAAAATGTGCTTAAATAACAAAGCTTGGTTATTACCACCTTAGAAGAGAAAATTAAGTTGTCAGAGATTTGGGCTGTGCTGGCATCATCGGTCAGTGCTGTCGTTGGATGTGGTTCTCTGAAAGGGTGGGCCACATTGGGTAGAGTTTTGAGCAAACACTTTACAGCTCGAAGTGCATTCCTGGAAAAGTTGGCATATATTAAAGCCATGCAACAATTACTTTGAGTTATATGTTAAAAGCTCTCTTCTAATTCTCGCTAAATAATGAGAACCCCCACATATCAGACTTCACATGAGGGAATGCATGGCCTGGTTTGCTGTGTGCTGGGTCCAGCCACCTGCTGTTTCTCAAGTCTCTGATGTGAAGTGTAACCACTCAGGGAAGGGTAAATAGTCTAGAACAATTTTTGGAAAGGATCCAACAAAACCAAAAGAGGCTGACCTATTTTTATTTCATCTGAACATGCTCCTTAACCTTAATGGCTTTGAAAAATGAAAAGCTCTTGCTTTGTAACCTAGGTAAATGTTAGTTTCTCTATTAATATTAATATCTAACAATAAAATCAAGAAAAAGAGTGCTCTGTATCTGTAGTTTCTTTGCCACAAAATGCTTTCCGTGCAGATTCCTTTCCCCCATCTTCACTCTGAGGTCTGAACGAGGGCCACGGATTCATGTAGTAAATCCCTCTGGTGCCTCTGCTCTGGGGTGGGCCCAGATTGCTGCAAATCCACGTTGTAGCTTAACTGCCAGCTTTGGTTTATTTTATCTACAATGCAATATCATCATATTCAAGATATACCCAGTAGTGCTAAGTAGAATAGTTCTGTGCTGCCCATAGCAAACCCAGGTGTTGTCAGTGTTGTAGAGAAGAAACCTATTCATGCAACATGCCGTGTAAGCTTCTTCCAGGTCTTTTATTTCAGAATAACATTCTGTTCTGCTTTATGTTATCCCTCCAGAGTCTGTAGCATCATTTCTTTTATTTATTGGTGTCTTTGTTCATTCATTCACTCATACACACGGGCCCAGTGTGTCAGGTGCAGTGCATGCTGCTAGGGATGCATGGTGGCCATGGTGCCAGCTCCTCTAGAGCTTGATGGCACACTCAGATGCATTCCTTGGTGCCTTTCCTGTCACAGCGAACATATATGATGGAAGAAAAAATTTACAGCCAATACAACACTTAAGAGAGAATGTCACTGGAAGAACGTAATATGTTAATCTGGTGGGCAGATGCCCACATATAAGGAAGATGATGTTCAAGGTGATAGGGGACATATGGTGAACTACATGGGAGAGTGGAACTCAGCTATGTCATCACAGATGAATCACTCGGTCTTTGAACAAATGTCTTGAACCTATAATCCTAGGACTATTAATAAAAAAATGAGGCTCTAAGGTCTTTTCTGACAGCTGTGTTCCACGTGTTCTGTTCCTAAATGACAGGGCAGTTTTCAGACCATTATAATTCACTTTCAGTGTCCTCAAATCCTTCATGAGGCAAGATTGCTGCCAATAGTGTTCTATAAAGTCTGGGTTGAGTAGTATGACTTTGAATAATATCATATTATAATTTGGGTGATGTCTTAAGGAGCTTTTAAGAAACGAGTGTTACAGCTGCATTAGGTCATTGCAATGTGAGCCCAGGAACCATGTGGGTAAAGTGACATTTACTATATGCCATTTAAATACCAAGGTAGTGAAGCTTGTTGACCTAAATGCAGTGAGTGAACAAGGGCCTTGAAAATGAATGAGGAGCTAATTTTCTTACTTTAGAATGCAATGTGATGGAACAATCTCACACTTAACAGAACTGCCCACTGCGTGCCAGCAAGAACAGTATACTTTTCATGACATCATTGGCAATTATATACCAGGACTAGGCAACTAACTATTTTTCACTGAGTGAACAGTAAAAGAATGTGGTAAATGGCTATTTTATAGCCTTATGTCAATGTTAAGATATAACTGTAATGATACAACCCAAATAATAACTTGAAAAATGTGATGTGAAATTGATTTTAGAGACCTTCTTTAGTAACTGAACAATTGTGAGATGATCTTGAGTGTCATTTGATGAATCACACCCTTCCTGAAATTTATTTCTGGAGTTGGGATGCTGGGGGTGGGCTGACATTTCCCTCATAGCTAAATTTTATTTTCTTAGACCAGGGAACAAGTTTCAGAGACATGCCATCAGAACAGCACTGAGGACTGGCCTCCAACTCTAGGTCACAAGTTGAAGTAAGACTGGAGGACTACTCTGTATCCCTCCAAATTCATCTGGTGAACATATTCATCATTCATTCCTTTAGGGAGCATTTCCTGATGTCTGTTGAATGCAGTGCCAGGCACTGTGTTAGGCCCTGAGAAGACACTGGTGAACAAAAAACTGAATGAGAGAACTCTGGGCTGTGTGGCTAAGGGGTAGGTCTCTGCTCTTTCTGAAATGTGGGGTGGTGACTGGTAATGACCTCTTGTTTGGGGGATAATCTAAAGTCCGTTATGTTGATACTGGGGTGGAACAGTCTGTGGCACTGTCGAGACTTAGCCCCGAGTGCTAACTCATTCAGGGAGGTTTCTAAGTTCAGTATAACATAAGGTGAGAATACTCTGAGAAAATACAGGTGGGGTTTAAATAATGTGCTGAAGGTGGGTTTGTGCTCACCATTAGAAAGGAATCACTAATTAGAACAAAAGAGGATACTTGTCAAGGTTGGAGAAAATACTATTAATTTTAGGAGACCCTCCCTCGCCTCCAGGGTGGTTTCCCACCCATAATTTTTTAGCAAATTCTTCATTTTTAGAGTTTTAGTCAAACTTAAGACTTTGAAGGATGTTAGAATACAAATGCAAATAACAGAGCAGTAACCCCGCAGTAAAAATGAGGTTTTGGATTCTTTCCTGAAAGTCATAGGGCTGGAGGGAGAGATGGGGGAAGACTAGGATCCTGGTACATGATTAGGTCGTCAGGGTAGGCAATGGAAGGTTGTTCCTTTGAGTGGGATGGTCGAGGGCAGGAAAACCAGGACTCAGTGTCTGATGTGAGCCAGTCTTACTAACTGTCCAGTGAGAGGCACAAGCTAAAGGTAGCTTCACCCTAGCAACAGTTGCTGTAGACTGGATGCTTGTATCCCTCCAAATTCATCTGGTGAACACAAATCTTCGATGAGATGGTATTTGGAGGTAGGGCCTTTGGGGGTGATTAGGTGATGGGGGTGGAACCCTCATGAACGGCATTAGTGCACTTGTAAAATAGACTTAGGGAGCTCCCTTGTCCCTTCCACCATGTGGAGACACAGCAAGAAGATGGCCGTCTGTGAACCAGAAGGGGGTTCTCACCAGACACTGAGCCTGCCAGCACCTTGATCTTGAACTTTCCAGCTTCCAGAAATGTGGGAAATGAATGGCTAAGCCACATGCTCTATGGCATTTTCATTGCAGAGGCTCTCGGGAGACTAGTCACAGCCTTAGTCTGTGAGACTAAGACAATGAAAAAGCGTCCTGTGGACAATTAGGTTTAAAAAAATGAGTTAAAAAGTAAGTTGAACTTTTTTGCTTGGTGGGATTCTGTAGAACTTTTAATCTTTTTTTCAATGAGTTCTCCAAACTTACTTCACCATTGGACATGGGCTTTTCCAAACTAGAGGGACTGTTACAGAACATATTTTGGGGGAATACTTCCTTAAGATTTTTCTTTTTTGAATTACAGATGCTGCTGACTATTGGGAGTTTTTATCAACTTTACAGCAAGTGAAGGAAAAATCCAGCTGTCACCTGATAAACAGACTTTTTGCCTAATTATGAAATAAAGTCTCCAAATGGAAAATCTATCCAGATTCCTTATAACTGTATTTATCTTTTCCTTTTGTCTTTTATCTTCGCCCTTCATAAAATTCCCGTAAGCCTAATTTTATGTCAGTGCTATTTTCCTAGAATTTGTGTTTTTCCTTAACCCTTTACCTTGCTCCATACCTTTGAATCATCACTTCTATTTTCTCTATTTCTCTTCTACTTTGTCTTTTTCAGGATTTTCTTTTCCCTAATTAAACTTCTTAATGCAAATCCTTTGTACTTCTTAATAACAGCCACTTAATCTTTCATGCAATTATGAATCAATGAAATGGATGATTTTCAAACTTAAAGCATGGCGAATAGCCTTTCATATAAAGCTGGAATTATATCCTCAATCATAAGATGCATTTTATGAAAATTTCAAATATTTTCTAAATTTTTGAGTATTTAGATTATTAAAAATGACAATTACTAAAATAAATTTTACTTAAAGTTCCAATAAATCTGAGCTATGATTATACTTACATCTTAAGTCACTTCAATAAAAATGTTGACTAGTGATTGCCCAAATATGTTTGACGATGAAAATCGCTTAGCGTATTTATCAGAGAGAGATTCCTGGACTCCATACAAGTGTACTGAGGCAAAACCTCCAGGACTGTACTTTTAATATCAACAGGCAAACTTGAAAAACACTGACCTACATTTGGTTTTAATGGTCTATAAGCAAAATATTGCAGAAATAATGTATTTCATATATTATGTTGCCCCCAACTTCAGGCAACATAAGTTTTATTGAGCTTTTCAATAAAAGAAAGAAAAGAATGAAAATAGCAATTTTATTTTTCTTCCTTGTAGGTCAAATTTCATATTTGGACAGCTTCCTTGCTGCGCTGTCAGACTATCTCTTGCTAAACTCGTATGTTATTCCCTTCCATCGTGTTCACTATGTATTATAGAGAGCTGGAGCCATAGAATAATGAGTCCCCATCGGCCATCATTTGCCTAGTCATGGTTCTCTGCCAAATGGGTCTGGTCACCTGGATGTTTCAAACTTTTGAAATATCTTTATGATTATTCATATGAGTCTCCAGGGAAAAATCTAAAATAGAACGAAACTGAGGTCCAAATATTAGACCTCACAGGTGGCCAAACGCAACTGGGATTTTCCCAAATGTTGACTGGAGGAAGGAATTTGACTTTTTCCGTTTACATGGAAAAGTATCAAATGTCCCAACGAGAAGGTTGGAAATGCATCTGTTTCAATTTCCACTTATGAAAACTGATGCATTTTCTCCTCTTAAAAGCTCAATGTAATTTCTCCTCACTGCAGTGTTTTGGTGTTCTAAAAATAGCTTCTAGGAATCCCCAGGAAAGAACTATTGATACACCAAGTGGCCAAATGTAACCCCATTTTGAATGTGCCAGCGTTTGAAATGGGCCAGAACTTGTTGGAAATGATAGATTTTGTTTCTTAATGTTTTTCTTGTCTGATTTTTTCTTCATTGACGAATCAAAGGTGGAAAGTAAGACAAAAGGACATTGATTACTGGGAACCAAAGCGATAACATTTGCGGGGAGCATCTTTAACCAACTTAATTCGCGACTGGAGGAAATTCTAGGGACACAAGTCACTTTCATAAAGTACTTTTGGGGCTTTCAGGGTCTATGTAGTTTATGATTGTAGTTTCCCTGGGAAATGCATGGCCTTGGTTAGCCACAAGATGGCAATGCTGCTTAAGAA